CTCAAGACCTAAGACCACATGTGTACTAACTCTGTAGACCCTGTAGTATGTAGACTCTGTAACTCCCAGATCTAGCTAGAATCTAGATATCATAAGAAACATGTCATCTTGATTAATCTGCTTAATTTCCAGCATATGAATTTTGCCTTTGAGCCAAGCTGCCTCAGCCGACTTCTGGTATGCGACTTCCTGGCTCCAGGCCGACTGCATGATGGGGCGCTCGACCTCCATCATGCGCAGCGCCTCACGTGCGACTCGCTCGACATCGACCGGCACAGGGGCCTGAGATGTTGACTCAGCAACCTTAAATTGAAGTGAAGTTGAAGTATTAGGATTTGTGTTGAAGATCGACTGTTATGCAGAGTTCCAGAAAAACTGGGCTCATAATGTGACCAGCTGCTGGCTGCTCGACTGGCTTCGCCTGCTCGACTCTCAACCGCTCAGCTTGCTCCAGCTGCTCAACTTGCTGCTGGTAGATAGCAGCCTTGCGCTTAGCGACTTCAGCCTCACGCTTCGCAAGTTCGACTTCCTTCTGGTTGTTCTTGACGACTATTTGCCTGTCAAGGCGCCTCTTATACGACTCCTTCTGACTGCGGTTTGGCCCATTCTTCTTTTTCTTGGCCATGGCGACTGGTTGCAACTAAAAAAAGAGCTAGAGCTATAACCAACTTATCCAACTAATAGGATGCCGCCCTGGCATTCTATACGGAGACTCTGGCTATGGCCGAAGTTAAATATGACTCCAGATTCCTAGTGGACTCCCAGACTTATGTGTTTACCTTGAAGCCTTAGGCCAGGCCTTAGGCTTTCTACTTGGGTGCGACTGTAGTAGTGTGTGTAGTTAGGTTAGTGACAAATTGAAAGTTGGAAATTCAAAGTGGTGGGTCCTCTTGGAGGGACTGGGCTGAGTGGCTTGTGGCTTGTATCAACTCGACTACAAATGCACAATGGCACAATGTGTGGCACATGTGTGCCCCCTAAATTACGTGAACAACCTATGTCATGTAACAACCGACTATGCCAAGCATGCCATGCTATGCCCATCCTTGACCCTCAGCTGCACATCAAGGATATGTTTGTTGATTAAAAGGGTTCTAGGGATTTGGCAGGATTGCTGGGTGGCTAGGGCTAGGGCTAGGACTAGGAGGGATTCAGGGGTTGCATCTGGGCTCCTAGGCCGGCCGGGGTCTAGTCGAGTGGGATGTATTTGGGTATATGGGTGTGTGAGAGGAACGGTGGTTATTATATTTGGGATTTGAGTGACAACTTTCATTTAAGGTCGGTGCTAATTGACTCCATTTTTTATCCATGGTCCCTTATCTCGTTCCCCTTAGAACGGAGGTGATTTCCTTGATGTCTTGAAATGCTGTGATCTCGTTCGGAATGGTGGAACATAAGCATAGCTCTCATAATGGAGACTCGACCTATCTCGTTCGATCCGCGGGCCCTATCTAGTTCCCCTTAGAATGCTGGCTTTACAACAAAAATACGACAAATGCGGCGGCTCATAATGAGCCACCATCAACACTGATTTATAAGGAGTGCTGAGTGCTGTAAGAGTGCTAAACATGGAAACCAAAATCCCTGCAAAATCATGGGAACACTGAGAAATGACTCCAGACTCGGACTCCAGCCAATACTCCAAATCCCAAGCCAAATGCAACCCTGTGAACTGCAGAAATTGACAGCAAGCTGAAACATGTGCACATGTGTCACATGAGTGTCCTCCATTTGCCCATGGATGCCACCAGCAATGAAAACCACCGCGCAATAGGTCTGACCTGAGCAAGCGCAAACATGTGAAGACCAGGACCCACTTCTGACACTACTGATTCATAAGCAATGTGCCCCAAGTGCATATTCCTATGCTGCTGTCTGATCCGGAGGGTTAGTTTGGATCATGTACTTGATCTGGATGGTCAGAGTGTGGAATGATGACTGACACTTGCTGGTTCCCACAATGATACAAGCAGGGCTACTACTACAGGACAGGACAGGACAGGACAGGTGAGTATGTGCTAAATACTAAATACTTTGATGGGTATGGAACGGACACCCAGCAATGCCCAGCACAACATCAATTTTCAGGTATTGTGTTCGATGGTCTGGCGTCCGGAGTATGGAATGGAATGGTCTGGGACAGAATTTGGGGACTTGATCTGGAGCTCTGGAGTCTGGATCAGGATGTTCGCTTGCCCTTGTTCTAGACCTTTCATATTGTGAGCCCAGTCTTGAGCTGCCCCCTAAACCTAAACCCTAAACCCTAAACTGAGGGCCGCTAGCTGCTGCTCATTTTCATTCTACGCGTGACTCAGGTGACCATAGTTGACACAAAATAGTCAAGTTGAAAACCCACCCACCCAGACTCCCAGCACTCTTGAGGCCCAGTCCACTCCAACTCTCGACTCGAGTTCTCAAGTGGTCCGACCTCAGGTGATGGGAATGACTTGTTGGGGCTGCTTTCTGAGACTCTGAGGCTGTAGCCGAAACGGGCATGACAAAGTCCCAGAGTCTCAGCACCAAACACCCAAGGTCGAGTTTACACAAACTTGGCAAGAACCACAACTGATAAGGTCTGGGCGATTCTGAGCGGCAACTGATGATGTCCAATTTGATACCTGCCGACCACAAGGGTTTAGGGCCGTTTAGGGTTTAGGGGTTTAGGCCGCATGCATGCATGGATGACGACACGACACGAACGCAGGGGGAACCCAAACCCAACTAACCTCCTGGAACCCCTAACCCATAACCCGGACCTTACTTAGGGACCGGGGGCATGCTTCTGCCCCCAGACGTCCCATGGCCGGGGGCATGTTCTGCCCCCAGACGCCTCTATTATAGCTTTTACCTAAAACGACTTAAGAACGATACGACGAAGAGCCCCGACCTTCACTGCATCTTCTTCGACTGGATGATGAGGATGTAGTCCGGCAGGGCAGAGCAGCAAGAGGGGTTTTAAGGTTTAGGAGTATACCTGTAGGACAAGAGTAGTAATGTAGTAGTTGTAATGAGAATAACATTATATTATAATAGTATAATAAGTATAATAGTATTAGCAAGTTATATACGTGCTCTTTGATTTCCTGTTTACTTTAAAGGGGACATGGACATAAAATTCTAACCCGCTTTAGAGTTGTTGGACTTGTTAACGCAGAGAGCCAAAATCAGTTGATGCTCTTCAGGCCCTGAGCTAGAACAGGTAGCGTGTGCTTGTTGTCCGTCAAACTTATGCTTCTCGGTCTTTTGCAGGCAGTCTTTGTGCACAATGAAAAGTTGCATCACTGATTCTTCCTCCTCCTTTGTCTTCGGTTGCAGCTCTTGTTTCTTCCTTTTTTGTTTCTTGCTTTTTCCCTTTTTCAAGCAGAGGGGTTGGGGGGGCGTAGCCTCCCGCATTTGCAAACACAAGGCTCTTAGTTCCTTCCTTCCCTCCCTCGTTCCAGCTTCCTCCAGCCTTCGTTCCTCGTTCCTTCTTTCATTCCTTCCTTCTGTGTTTCCTTCTATCCTTCCTTCTGAGGGGCCAGGGCCAAAGAAAAGAAAAAACAAATATTCTTGGTGATCTTCCTCCTGTTCTTCCTCTTTCGTCTTCTTCCTCTTGTGCCTCTCCCATTCTTCTTCACCTCTTGGTCTTCTTTTGTCGCTGCTGCTGCCTGCTGCCCCAAGCGGCCTTGCGACGGCTCTCATTTCAGATTTACGCTTCAGCAGCGACTAGAAACGGCCTGCCAGAACATCCGATGCGTTTAGCGCCTGGTAACCTAGCGTGAGTCTTTATTTTCTGAGCTGCTTTGGCCTCGTTTTCGGATGCATGGCTTCCGATTTCTCGGTTGGTCGTTCTGGCCACATTCTGTGCAGCACGCTGCGACAGGTTACACTGCCTCACCGGCAACAGTCGCATGTCCCGGCCTCGATCTCATGCTGCTGCAGCGGATGCTTATCAGCGCCTGACAGGGAGGACAGGGAGGCTGCAGTGTCTGTCTTGAAGTTTGCGTCTGCTCTGGTTGAGTTGCTTTGCCGTGAATCCACCGTACGTGAGATTCAGTTCAAAGCCCTTAGCCTCCAGGTCTGTCAGACAAGTTTGCGTTGTCTCCCATCACCCAGGTGCGCACCGCTGTGTGGGCGACAAGCACAGCAACATCACACGCGAGTCTTGCGCGATCCAGGCTGTCCATGTACTCTTCGAAGGTCTCGAAATCATACTTCAAGCCCTCTGCAATGATCGGTTCTGGGACATCCTCTACAGCCTCTACAAGCCGAGCAAGGAATTTCCGGCGATCCTTCTGGCAGGGAGCAAAGCCAATGCCACAGTTGCCCATGATGCATGTTGTCACACCGCAAGCAGAGCTGGGACTGAGGTAAGGATCCCAAGACCACTGAGCATCAAAATGCGTATGCGAATCTATCCATCCGGGCGTGACTAGGAGGCCCTGTGCGTCAAACTCCTGCTTCCCTTGGATAGGGAGGTTGCAACCAATGGCTGTGATGATCCCATCCTTGACAGCAACGTCTGCCACGAACTCAGGCTTCCCTGTGCCATCAACAACACGCCCAGACCGAATGACAAAGTCTGCGACGCTGTCGGCACTTGACATGCCTCCACTTCTAAGGTCGCTAGAATGGATTCAAGCCGACGTGGCTGCAGCCGGTGCAATTGCAACTGCTGAGCGAAGTTCAAGCAAGGATGTTCCACAACCCGTGCAGGCTCTTGACTCCTGAGGCATGACCACGCGTTGCACACATTCGAAGTTCACATGCACACAGCTTGAGGATTTAGAAGAGGAACTGTACTGTCCGGATCTGGCAGATGACACTACACATGGGTACAAACTGGAGCAGATCCCGCCGTAGTTTAGCGTGCCGGCTTGGATTGTGGGAGTCCGCAACGAGTTCTCCTCTTGATGCTCCCTACCAGGCGAGTTTACATAGCAAGTATACGCAGAAAGCATATGTCCACAGAAACCCTTACACGTCCCTCAACCTCCTCTAGGCGAAGAGGCAGACGGCACCTTGTGAATCCCCAACCGCGACTTCTCTTCCTGCTGCTGGAAACTGGTCGCCCACCTGGCCGTCCCGCCCCGAAGGCACGGGGACCACCGAGCATCAAACTGCAAAACGGACTATGCAGGGACCGTGTAGGGAGTGTGTAGACCTGAACGCGCACATGAGACCCCATAATTTATGACTTGACCCATATACACGAGAGGGTCACAGAAGTGACTCTGCACTGCAGGGGATTGAAAGCTCAGAAAATCAGTCTCTGACCCATGATGCTTAGGTTCCTAGATCCTACAGACTTCTCTTGTCCTTGCACCCTCCACTCTGAGGAGCGGTACGCAGGGCTCCACAGCAGCGTGGCCGCAGTCTCCCAGATCTGCCCATGTTAGAATTCACGGAGTCATTTTTGAGCATGACTGCTTTCGTTACGGATGTTGGGTGTCTTTTTTATAGAAAGCACGAATTCTATTCAAGAATCCTTGTTGAGGATGATTCAGGGCATGGGACGGAGGCTCCGAACTCAGCGCAGGGTTTGCATGGCTTGCAATCAAGTGGGGAGATTGTGTGATTGCCTGCTCGTCTTCAGCCGAAGTTCTGAAGTACGTTGGCCTAGAGGCCTCATACTGCACAGGACGGACAACATGGCATGCATCCTGTTAGGTCCTCTGCCTTGGGGGTTTTCATGGCAGGTTCGAATTCGCAAATCATGCTTCCTGCGATTGACATTCGTCATCTGAACATGTGCATCCTTTTGGATGTTCTCCTCCTGCGTGGCGTTCTTGCCCGACAAGACATTATGTTGCGGCAAAAGCATGCACAACGAAGGAGGATGGTGGAGGTACCGAATCGTTCCCGGAGCCACTTCATTCTGCGGCTTCCCCATGCTTCTGTACCACCTTGTATGCACGTAACAGCTCATCAGTCCGTTTTCACAACGTTCTCATTTGCGCAAGCATGTGCATGCATAGAGGAATCAGTCATCTACCGCTTGACTCATGAGTTCGGACATAGTAACTCAATCGAAACATTAGAAAATTAGCCCGTATCATGTTGCCAAGAACGCAAATTTGCGTCCGCCTTCGGCTAGCATGTGTCTGGCACAAACAGACCAACATCATTCCCTTCCAAAACAACCCTAGGAACTCGCACAAGTCGCTACGCAATTACATGACTGACTTGCTGCACGCCTGTTTTGCAAAGGCTGCTTTCTCGGAAGAGACGCGGAGCAGGAAGGGCCTCATGTCATTTGGCATCTCCAAAGCCTTCAATCCGAGCTGCTGCTGATTTCCAGCTGGTGCAAAGTATTCTGTCAGGACGACAGAGGCTCAAGAACACCGTGCAGGCTACATGCCTAGAACACCGTGCAGGCTACATGCCAGCAAAGTATGCTGTGCTGTGGCGGTGTGGCGGTTCGGTCTGCTTCAATAAACTCCATCTTGCAGCTGCAGCCTTAGGGAGCCCTGGCAGATCCAGCCACACACTACCCTTCAATTTGGCGAGTAGGTTGGAGGTGGCACGCACCACTTTGGCGGTGCAGAAAGCATTTCGTGCATGTGGTGATCCGGGCACTCTACTGATGATCATAGCGCGTGAAGCCGAATTCTTGCATACCAAAACTACGCAGGCTTGTGCACCACCCGTGATACTTCACCAGAAATGAGACAATGCACGCCTGCTACATCTTCGGTACCGCGAAGCATGAAAACCTTTGAGAAGGACTCCCAAGGTCTTTGACATGGCTGAACCTTCCTCGGGAAGCACGGTAGGTGCTCTCAGGCTTTGGCCAGGCATCGACATCACTTGGAACCTGGCCGCAAGTGCTGTCAATTTCTTGCCAGACTGAATAAGCCTCGAGTCCACACTCAGCTTCAGGTTCCAAGCAGCATCCACAGGCACGAGATACAAAAAGACGGATGCGGCGCCCTACCCTGAGGTAGGCCTCGTCCAGAAGGGATGGCGTTTTTTTGACCTGCTCATCCAAAGCTACACGGAGCAGCCTCACTACTATGAGCCAGCCCCGAGTACATAAGCCTTCCGGTCGAGCCAGATATGGTGGGTAGGATTTGTGGCTCTTCGTTAGAATGACTTGAGAAGCTGCGCACGGCTGCTATCTCCTGCTAGACCTGACGGCAAGCCGTTCTTGGCGCTGCTTCCTGCTTTGGACACGAGGCAGAAGAGGTCTTCTACCAACCAGTTGACTGATCTGCCGGAGACATAAGCTAAACTATTCTGTGCAAATCAAGGGCAAACTATGGAATCTGAAGCTGGACCTCAGCAACTCCGCGCTTGAGCTTTGTGAGCACACCAGAACACCTTGGACAAAGTCTCCCACACAGTTGAACTCCTCTGTGCAAAGTCTGAATCCTGTGTTAGTCTTACAACCGCCCCTCTCTCAGGTTGCCTAGATAAGATGCAAATATGATAAATGCTTTCTTGGAAAAGTTTGCCAGCAAAGCAATCGGAGCATCCAAGCAAAACTTGCTTGCAAATGGTGTTCGAACCTGCATATAGTAAGGCAACGCGGCTGATCGAAGCAAGTCTGCCATAGGGCTTCTGGGAATCAAAATCCGTTTGGCAACAAAAAGACGGAGAATGATGAAGAGTCGTCTCTTTGAGCATGCTCGTAGTCGCTTTGACCGCTCGCCCTAAGTGCTGTGGCCTGAATCCAGCTCACCTCCAGAGCCAGTGCTAAGCCTACGAGTCCAAGTCTAAGTCCTAGAATATTGACAGGGGGTGGCAGATGCGGTCAAGAGATGTTCGTCAGTGTGAAGGGGATGACTCACGCCCCCAAGCTCAGGCATTGTCGATGAGCTGAAGCTCCCCTCGTCCGCGGCAGCCGCTGCGGCAGCCTGCAAAAAGAAATGTAGAGAAAATGGAGGTCTTGGGAAGGCTTAGGTGTTGCAATGAGGTTGAAGAGGGGGTTCCTGTTCAAAGATGGTATCAATTTTTCAAGTGGTCACAAGAAAGCCTGTATAGGATGAATGCCCAGAAAAGCAAAGATGCCCTTCCTCAGTCCGGGGAAATGGGCATTGGGCCAGCGGGCGTTTGTGAGTTTGCTAATTATCTGGTGCTGTTGCGGACACCTTACCCACACTGACTTAAGGTTTTTAGACAAGGCGTGTCTCGGGTCTAATCTGTCTAATCTGTCTTCCTGTATCCGACCTTGACTGAAATTCGCAGACTCTTTGAAGCCTCTCCAAGGTCTTCTAGGTTTCTCTTCAGTGAACGCCCGTCCCCAGCTCTTCCGCCTCCTTCAGAGCATCTGCCAGCTTCGCCATGGGAGCAATACAAGTGGAATTATTGGTGCTGCAGCTGCTTGGTGTTTACCTGCTGGCCCAAGCATCCTGGATTTTTGCTCAAGGTGTAAAGCGTGCGATATTGCATTGGCTGGCTGTGAGGAAAGATGGGGAGAATCACCATCAGACCGAAGCAAGCATGGGTTTGATTGCGATTCAATCACTGCGCAGCTACCACCAGTGAGTCTACGGCCCTCAAGAGCCACCAGCTTGGCAAATGCACGCAGAAGTACACAAAGACTGACATTGGGAGATGTGGGGACGTCGGCATCCTCTTTTTGATTTGAAGGAGCACGTTTGCAGCTGGAAGACTAGCGCGCATGGACGCTTGTTTATCGTTTCTCCACGAAAGCTTTAAGCGAGCGTGGTCACACTCTGTCAGCCTAGCAGACATTCTCATGCTAATGATATGGGCACGGAAGCGAGCGGCCTATTCACAAATGGGTTCCACGATCTTCTTGCTCTTGTCATCCATGTCAGTGCAGAAGGCATTCAACGCATCCAGCATTACGGGAGGAATGACGAAGTGGGCCCCCCTCAGGTCTCAGTTTGTCTTGAGACTGTAATGCTTTGTCGCCTTAGAGGCCTCTCTCCTGGGAACCTGCAATCGCAGGAGTCTGAACGGCCCAACCCTCTAGACAAATTGACAACTGCCCGACTGTCTGAACCTCTCGGTCTCCACAAATTCATGTGTGCTTTCAAGTTGAGACTGACCCTTGATCAGAATGAACCAATGAAAAGCTCTCTTCCAAGTCGCCGCTGCTCCACAACCATGCTGGCCACTGCTCCCGCTGCGTCAGCGCTTGAGACTTTCTCTTCGCTGTTGTGCCGCAGCTTTGCGACGACTTCGCGCGCCTCGTGTGTGGCGGAAAAGCCGATGTTGATCTTGATGAGCCGGCCGCCGATCTGTAGCTTGGGAGTTCAAACGCATGTCTGTTTGGATCGTTGTCAGTTATGAATGTGTACACAAAAAGCTCATGCCGCTAACACTCTCAACAGGTTGATCCATCTTGCAGGTCGGCACTGGAAATCGGGAGCCTTGGAGAGCGCTGTGGGCTTCAAAACGTTCTCAATCGCATCAGCAGCAGAGGCTGGAAGGCCATCCAGAACATGGTCCTTCATGTAGCCAAAGGCGAAAGCTGCTTGAAGGCTGGAGGATTTGAGCAGTCCTTGTTGACCAGAAAGGGCATGTAGGCACTAGGCAGGCCCAGGAAGTATTGCCTCAGCTGCACCCAAAATGCACTCGCTCCCGTAAAAAGCTGGCCGCACTTCTTCCGCGAAGAGATGTTGATTGGCCCCAGCAGTCCTGACAATTCCCCTAGCAGCACAGGCCGTGCAGTGCAGCGGCATCAGCTTTGAACATGAAAGCCTCCTCGCGAGGTCACCAACATGGTAATGCCCAGTTGCTGCACCTCCTTGACCTGTGCATCGGTGGGAGCAGGTTCGCAGGCCTCAACAAGGCCCATGCAGAATTGCCAGAGACCCTTAGTTCCCACCCCTCGCCAGCCCCCGGGAGCAAGCTCCGGTTTAGGATCAGGGCTTTGTCTGTTGAGACCTTGAATGCCTATGCCTCCTTCCCCTTGGCACACTGTTACTCGTATGTCTGAAGAAGCTCAAAGGCACTGTCAGGAAACTGCTGGAATCTAGGCATGCTGATGTTGGTTTCTCCTGAATCCTGTTGGTTAGAAAAATCTCTACCACACCCAACCCAAAGTCGGGGCCTCCAAAGGTCTCAATACAACAAAAGATGCGACTAAAGTACTCGGAAAGCCCAGCAGCAAGCCAGGTTACGCTTTGTTGGCAGAATGTTATCTGAAGAGACTGCTACAAGTTTACCACCTACCCTCAAGGCGATCCCAGATGCTGAGAGAATGCCACGGACCATGGCTTCCTCAACTGCAGGGCTGTAGGGCTGACTGAAGTCAATCCAAGCCGATGATCCCCGGCCAGGGAAACCAAGAGGGATCAGCAGCTCTTGCACCTGCAAGACAGTTTTTTCAAACGCTACAAAAACCCTCGCCCTCTTTCCTCTTCCTCTTCTCATCCCTCTCATTTTCGTCATGTGTCTCTTTTGTTTTGTTTTACATGCTCCTGTTCCTTCTTCTTGATTTACTTCTTCCGGAGTGCGCTCAAGACGCTCTCCGCTAGCCTGGCAAATCATTTGTAGACCATGTGCACGGTCAAGCTAAGGCCTGCTAGCTTGACCAGAACCCTCATCCTCCCCTGATCGGGCACAGGGGCAACCTGCATGTCTACTGCCCTGCCATGCTCCATTCCTAACACAAGAATCTGCATGGTTCCTATCTGTCTGGCTGGCCTGACTGCCAGTCACCTCCAAGGCCGCCAAGCGACTTTCATACTTTTGTCTCTGAGTGTCGCTTTCTGACTGTACCGCCTAATCATTAGCCTCATTAGCCCCTAGTCGGCATGTTCATCCAAATGTTCAATGCTGGTGGCGTTTGTGGCGATGGGCCTACCTGTCATTCCTAGGCTCCCAGGGTTTGTCTTCGTCTCGCAGTCCCTTATCTCTATTCCTGCATGGGACTTCCTTTACCGCAAAGCTGTCCAGTCTCTAAGATGATCTGCCTCAGGCTGCACCGATGCCAAAGGATGCAGCACTATGATCTTCGTCTTCTTCGGTGCCACTTCGTTGCCCCAAAGCAGCAAGGTCTGCCGGCTCACGCAGGTGCAAGGTGTGTGACATCCATGTTGGTATGATGTCAGATGCACATTAGGACTACAAGATACTGCAGGTGCTATGCTGGGAAGATCCGTGAGATCTAAAATCGAAATTCCGCTGCGCTTTGGTGACCTCTATCTCAACTTACACCACAGTGATGCAGCAAAGGAGTTGCATGCAAGTGGAAACAAGCAGTCCTTCATCGCTTCCAGCTCATCGCCGTTCATAACATTTTCACTTAGATCTACCTGGCACACTGCAGCAATCATTCGAAGATCGTTAGCTTTACATGTCGTATGTATTGATCAGACAGACACAGGCCTCATCAAAAAACAGCACGTCAGCTGATTTGCCCGCAATCTCAGCCTTGACTTCCGACTCGCCTAGAGCAACAGGCGGGATGGCGAGAGCGACTGCATCTCCAAGATTTTCTGAGGTTCTTCCCTAATTTCAATGGCTTGCATCCGCGTGGCTGGACTTCAGGAGTGCCAACTGATCCGCCTCAGATGACGCTATGCTATGCCATTCAACTGGGCCGAACTAAATGGGAGGCCTGCTTCTCATTGTTATCTTATGACAAATCAACAACTTGCTCAAGATCACATATGCCTACTTGGAATTTCATACGAATGCATGAGCGCAAATGAAATTAGGCTATCATCTGCATGACTCTTTGTGAGCTTCTGGCTATGTGTCTGTCTTGTGCTTGCTTTCGCAGATGGATTCGCATTTGCTGGATGCGCGCATGGTGGGAATACTTACTCATCTGCGCCAATCTTCAGTATACGAAAAAATGAAGGCAGGCCTTGACGGCTGTGGTGTAAGCCTTCTTGTCTATCTGCCTCTTCTTCAAGTACCAGCCACGAAGGTCGAAGCTGGCCTGACTCAAATTTGGAGTTGGAAAGACTCTGTAAACTTAAGCAAGGCGTGATCAACAGCTGTTGGTATCTGCCTTCGATTTGCGGGTGTTTTCCATGGCCAGGAGGATGGTCTCGGTCTTGCCCGCGCCGCCAGCGCCCACAACAACAATGTTGGAGCCTGTCCCAAGAAATGACAAGGCACTGAAGCGACTTTCCTGCACGCCCACATTCTTGCTCACCCTCTATGCCCGCCTGCTTTGAGGCCAGCCTCCAAACGACTCAGAACACTGCTGGAATCCTGCGCGAGCAGCTGAGCTGCAGTGGCGAATATGCCTCGCGTGGATGAGAACATTCCAACGACTGTCATTGGCATGCAGTGACTGCTGTGCTTCGTTGGCCAGCTGGGAGCTAAACTTGAAGCTTGGCAAATCTTGTGAAGAAAGCAAACTTCCACAGCTGCTCGCGTCAGCCTCCTTTCTCGGTGTAAAACAGCGGCGTGTCAGAGAGCTTCTCCAGTCTCGGCAAGTGGAAGCTTACAACTCTGATAAAAAAAGATCGTTGCCAACGACAGCTTCAATTTGCGGACAAGAAGCTCGTCCAACTCCAGCTGATATTCCATGAACTGCGACACGTCTGTGTCGGCCTGTGTGGATGTCCAGCGCCAAGTACATGAGCTGAGACACCCCAACTAGAGTCATCAAAAGTGTAGCACCTGCTAGATTAGGAAAGGTTCCTTCCAGACCTTTAGGAATGTGAGCGTTTCACTGCTGAACCCATCATTTTCTGCTCTGCCAGAGCATCTCAACTCTTTGCCTCCAACGACTGCGAGACTTTATCCTCACGTAGAGCTGTGGCCACGGCCACCCCGAGCAGCATGCGAAATGCCATTGATCAAGCCTTGTCAAGATTTTATCAAAAAACGTCAGGGGGAGCCAGCTGCGGGAACGGCTGCAGCAGGAAAGTCACAAGATGCTAAGGTCGTCGATGCGGCGTGCCCTGTAGCCAGCGTGCTTCAAAAAGGCTGCTGAAGGCAAAATTCAAGGAGGAAGAACAAACATGAATTTCTTGAAGCGCTAATAGGTGGGAGCGCAACAGATGTGCAAGATGGCAGACCAAGAAAATGACCTCTGCAGAAACATTGATAAGGCACAACAGCACAGCGACGCTGTTTCACATAAGAGGCCTTCATAGTCTGAAAGTGTCCGAGCGGGTCCAGTGCATGGCTGCACCGAATTGCGGGGGCCGCTCCATATTCGCATCTAAGAGCTGTAGCCCATGCATTAAACAACACTTGCACATCTTGAAGCTTTGGCACAAATTCGCCGAGGCATCCAGCCTCAGGGCGTTCAGATCCCTTTAAAAACCCCCTCTACTCCCCCTTACAGACACACCTCAGCTGGCCAC